TAACTCGATAAAACCAATATAGTTTTCAACAACAGGGTTCAAATCTTTACCCCATAACCTTAAGGCATCTTTGTGAGTGGCTACTGAGCCAGTAGTGAAGCTTTCAGCATACTGATGCCACATTTGTGATTCGATTTGGTTAAGCGAATGTGCTTAAGAATCTTTACAACAATCGACCAGTAACTTCATCAGCTCACTATAGTCACCATATTCAAGCTGCAAAGATGTGTCCGAGGGAAGGGCATCTCTTAACTTCTCACGACGTTTACTTAGAGGGATTTGCAGGTCGTGGTAACGTTAGGCTAACTGTCTTTGTTTTTCTTGGATAATAGGAGCGCCTGAATGACCTTCTGCAGCAAATGTGTCAGCCTGGACTTTGAATGCATACATACTTTCACGATGAGCAGCTACATCAGATTCAAGCAAGTTGTGCCGCTTTTGTGCGTACATCACACCGTTTAGATCACGACCGACATCCTCTGAGGTTGTCTGAGCTTCAACATCATTCAACCATAACTCGACATCTTCTACGTTGCGAGCGAACTGTTTTTGCCTACTTGCTTGATCTAAATTTTTCTTCTTGTCTCCCATGGCATTTACGAGATGAGACCAATTTTCATCCAACTGTTCAATCTTTACTTTCATTTCTGGTGAGTTGTAGTGGTTTGCATTTAACAAATCCTGATCTGTCTTTTTAATATCTTCAACGCGGGATTGGTTCTCTTGTATTTCTGCCTCTAAATTCTGATGCTTCTGCACCTTTGTTTGCAAATTCATGGAGTCTTTGTAACTTTCATCAAGTGCATTTTTAAGTTTTCCTGATATCTATGACCGCATTTCATCTGCATCTCTATCGAACATTTGGTAACGGTGGGAATCTTCAAGACGCTGACGGTGGTTCTGAGCTTTCTCCTTTAATGCATTTTGCCTATTTTGAAGACCTTCCTGAATCTCATGAACCTGTGCAGACGCATAGTGGTTTGATTCGATTAATTTTGCAGCGAATTCATCAAGTTGTCGCATCCTTTCTTCTTGTTCTAAAAGTGACTTTTCGAAGTCTTCATGTTTCCTTATGAGTGCTTCCACAGAATCGAGTGAGTCTCCCACATCTTTTATTTCTAAGAGGGCCTCTTGCTTACCAATCCAAGATTCCGACTGTTCAACGTCGCGGTAAAAATACTGAATGCCCATACACTGTTCTAGCTGCTCACGTCTTTCCTCACACAACTGCATCAGGGAGGCTCTCTCTATTTCAAGGGTGGAAAGTTTAGCAGCTATGTCTCCACTACAGGGATAGCCAACACTTAGTAATGCCTGACCTTCTTGCATGCATGTATGGAAACTGTCAGCTCGAGAATTTATCTCAGCGGTGTATTCCTTATGTCGCTCCACTTGGGCTTCAGCACCAGCTACATCCTTTGCCAAATCATCCGCCGATATTAACGTCTTCATGTCATTCACCCAGACACTCACGTCTCTCCAGTCAGCCAAAAAGCGATGCATCTTGAATGACTCTTCCAGTTTACCTCTCCTATCTACAGCCTGACCTGAAAGTAGCCTATAATTTCCAATGTGATAACCTAGGATGCTTCCAGAATGTTCTGCAGAAAGAATTAGGCAAAGCGATTTCTTGGCCGTCTTTATGGAATCTACAATCCAATCTAAACAAATGTGGTTGGATCTGCATCGGAACACCCTCAGTTGACAAAAAATTAACGCTTGAACCGGCTAACCTAACCGGACTATGAAGTGTCGTTGACTTAGGTCTGAGGTACTTCAGTGACTTAAGTTTCTCTGAACAAGTGGCATCATAGACTCGAAAGTCGAGAATGCTCTTAGGATGCATACTTAGGAACTTTCACAACAACGAAGCCAAGCTCATTCTACACAAAACATGTTTAAGGCCACTACTAGAACGCTGTCCATTTATTATAAGCAGCACTGGCGCACGTGACAAGCTAAGGAGAGAAAGTATCCGACGATATTTCACCTCCAAACTACTTGGCTACGATTGTAAGAAAGACTGCATCTCACGGAGTGTAGGATTATTTTTGCCTACAGATTTACTCCTTCCACAGTACTGACGACACAGAGTCTTGGCTTAACTATAGTTAGAAACAGAATGACTTGACTTAAACTTTATCTGTTTCTAAATCATAAAATAAATCATACAATCACATCAAGAAAAATATACAAATCCATTGTCACTCAAGAAAGGACAAAAACGTACCGAACAGTATTGAGGGAACGGACAAAATGGACAGTTAATTAATTACATGTACACAGAAAACAAAGAACACCCAGCGTCACATCACGTGGTGTGAGTTACATTAAATTAACCAATAATCGCGACAAAAGGGTCACATGATATTGATTAGCTGTCTATCACATAGTTTATCTATATGTCACGATTAACACGGTGCATGACCCTAATCTTGACCCACTTTGGACAAGACGACTTATTATAAACCTAATATTCTTCCTCAAGGTCCTACACAAAATATCATAATCACACAATAGGGACATACATTTCGCACATGATGGCTCTTACAATCTGTGCAACCAAACTTGCACACTGACAATACAAGCCTTTAAATCATTACTCCGCGAAAACTTCTTCACAGTCATATATTCTAAAATATGGAACAGCCTGCCTCTAGAAGTCAGAACTTGCACCTTGGTGATAAGTTTCAAACGCACTCTGTACGGACGGTTTCACTCTACTGACTACATTGATAAACTATTTATTTCTAGAAGGAATCAATCATTAGTTTACTGCAGCACCTAAGAAACGCGCGAAAATCCCCTACCTATTCTGTAAACGATGAATAGATCAGTCTCATAGATGCATAAAAATACTTAGTAGAAATAAATATACATGCTTACTAGATGGCAATGTACAACAAATTCAAACATGTATGTACAAACATTAAGGTACTGTCCCTGTACACATACTTTCCCTTTCCTCTCCGGTACTTTGCTGCTCTTCTTTTCTCTTGTATTTGCCTTGCAGTAGACGTTGCACAGATCTACATTCAGACTGAAGCTGAGAAACAATTGAAGTCACTTACTTACATACCATCCTTCAAGGTTTTGGCTAGTAATGAATCAGCATCCTTGAAATATCCACTGTCACCACAACAGTACAGCATCCTATACAAGCAGCATCCATGATCTAAAATAGCTTACAATTAGCTTTCTATGAGTTAATCAACTTGCTAGTACGGAACAACCAGGCAGCGACAAATAGCGGTTTTGGCTGGCCTCAGCGCAGTAAAAATAATCTGCCTGAGAATGACCAATAATAGTCTGCTTTGAGTACAATTCACTTCTGGTGCAGCAGTTCAAGTTGTTACACTCCGTATATCACACAGAAAGGCAGAGAAAAGAAAAAAATTCAAAAGAAATATAATGGGCAATGAATAACAGGGCACGTGTACAAATATATAAAGCAAACTATGAGAAGCTATGTGAATCCATCGATATGATCATGAGAAATAAAGTGTGTTTGGAACGTCATCCAGTTATCAATACTGTATCACTGTGTGTTATATCAAATAAATCTGTCTAATATGAAATTTTATTCTATCATGCTGTCGAAATTCTACAATAACACAAGGTTAAGTGGCCAATTCACTCAACCACTCCACTCACCATTTCTAAACTACAAGTTGGTGAAGGTCAGTTTTTTTCAGCATCTTCTTACATTTGACAGGGGCGAATCACACGCCAAACACTCGGATATTTCTGCTGAAGCCGTTCAAAAGATTCGGCATTTTGTCACTGTCTTCACCGCACACCCCAAGTCAACAAGACTGTCCCCTGAGAACAAGTTAATCCTTAGAGAACTAAAGCCAATTAATGTCAATTCCGTTAGTACATCTATGATAAAATTAAACAGAAAAGGGGACAGGGGCACCCCCTGATGGACGCGTCAGACGACAACTGTCCACAAACTCTAACAGGATCGCGTGAATTTGAGTTGGGTGTCTTAATTAGTGCCACGCTTTTTTTCTCGGCACTCCTTTCACTACCTGATATTGTCACACCACCATCAGGTTAACTGAGTCAAATGCTGTCCTTAGGTCGAGAAGTATGGTGAGAGATGAACGCCAGTAAGTATATCTGTGTTCCAGGATCTGTCAAAGGGTGAAGATACGATCAATACACCTTCTCCCTGTCTGTCTGGCTTTTCTGAGTTTGTTTTCCCCAAGCACTTAGTCTACGCATGTTTATTGAACCTAGGACTTTAGGTACTATGTTAGTTAAGCTGATTTCCCTATGATTATCACAAGAAGGCTTATCTCTGTACAGGTATATATGGCAGTTCAACCGCCTCTGTAAGACTAGTTACATTTTACGTCCAGTTAAGCATTTTTATGAACGAATTCTCGAATATCATTCTTTATGACGAAGTCAATTTATGTATCTACTTTTACGTATCTTGTAAGGTGTTAGGTTGACACAAAACGAAATCTCAGTCTTACGAGTTAATCTCCCACAAGCAATAGAAGCTGAACACACAGGCTGAGCAGAAAAACCCGTAGAGCTGCTTTTATGCTTTGCTTATCCATTAAATGTAGACATACTACAATAGTTCCTTTTCCCATCCAGATCACTAACTTATCATTACTTCATAATTACTACTCAATCTCAATTTTGTCCTTTTCAACCCTTATTTGTCTAAAAACGAATCGATTTTAACAATTTAATCGCTTGGCGAAATCACCCATTTATCCATTTTTTTCTCTCTCTCTCTCTCATCACCATAAAACACTTGAGATATGCAACAACCTCTTCAACTAAGAAAATTTCACTGGGTTATTATTATTCTTATAGTTTAGTCGATACTACTTTGATGGTTTTTCCTCCCTTTATTATCTTCTCTTTGATATGTTGATAATGATAAACTGTCGTAAATTTTTAAAAAAAAGCATAGCACACAAAGCTTAGAAAGCCATAGACTGTATTAGTCAATCAGCGAGTAGACTCACACTTACCCTATCCATTTTCTTTTTCTAAAGAAAGTTCAGTGATCCACAAAAACACTTTGGTACAGACAGGAAGACTTAATTTTGCAAGAATAAATGGTAATATTTATTCAGACATCTATAAAACACAAAATGATTGAGCAAAGAACACACTGCCACCAATCACCAAATCATTGAAGGCGCAGAAGTCTGAGAAGAGTTCGCCATTTTCGTTCATTTCACCGAGGGCCTCACGACCCATGGTGAGTTCTCTTCCTGTATTGTCTCCTCCCAGTTTCGCATTCATGTCGCCCATCAGGATTTTGATATCGCTCTTTGGGACGTTGTCCATTACTGTTTGTAGTTGACTGTAGAAATCCTCCTTCTTCTCATGTTCTGAGGCGTTTGTAGGCGCGTAGCACTGAATGATTGTAACCTTTTTTCCTTTTGAGTTGAACCTGGCTGTCATTATCCTGGAGGAGATTGGTTCCCACTGCATGAGAGCTTTAGCCGCTGTTGGTGACATCATGATGGCTACTCCCTCGGTGTGCTCGTGATTGTCCTCTGGGTGACCGGAGTAGATTATTGTCTCTCCAGTTGATAGTTGGCTCCTTCCACATCCGTTCCATCTGCTCTCGCAGATTCCCAACACTTCTATTTTATATCTCCTCATTTCTGCGGCTACCTCGCCTAGATTACTAGGTCACTAGTATTCTAGCCGGTCCCAAGCCCGGATAAAGAGGGAGGGTTGGGGCGTGGTGCTAGCAACTCCACCCCCAAAACTTAACCAAATTGCTACTAAAACTTCAACGCACAAATATATTCAAAATTCTAAAATTACAAATAGTGACCTTATTTTTCGCTGGAATCGGGGAAGTGAAATGACGCGGGCTGGTGAAAGCCTTCGGGAAGCCAGTCAGCCGATGTGCCTTCTTTCGATGAAAGCGAAAATAAGGATGGGGACGTGGAATGTTCGTACAATGTACGAAGCTGGGAAGGCTGCTCAGGTAGCCGCAGAAATTTAAGCATCTTTAATGAACTGTAATTCCATTGTGATCTTACTTTACAAATCGACATTATTGAAAAAAAACTAATATTTTTATTGACTACTAATCTAGAATATACTATGTATATAAACATATATAGATATAATTGTAGAGCCAGAAGAGGAATTTATAGAAAAGGATATTCTTTTCTCAATCATTTGTGTTTTATAAATGAAAATGACAATAAGTAAAAAAAAACGCAGAGTAATAGCAACTTCTGATCTAAGCGGCGATTAGTAAGAACACCGTACCACAGAGTTAGGAAGTTATGTTCGCCTAACAAAGTAGAAGAAGAATTAGGCTTTGTTGAAAAATACCTTAAGGAAAACAGGTATCCAAAGGGATTTATCCTAAAGTACAACAAAGAAAGAGATGAGAAAGAGAAGTATCCAACAGTTGAAAAGAAGCAGGTGTTCATTTGCCTCCCATACAAAGGAGAAGCAGTATCACAAAAGGATGAAAGGAGCAATAAAAAGATGCTTCCCTGCAGATAAGCTGGTGACACTATACAGCACTACATGCTCTATAACCCAATCGAAACTGGATAAGTATCTTGCTGACGCTACTTCCAACATCATTTATAAATTCACGTGCACCCGCGGTGGCATGTACATTGGAAGGAAAGAAAGAAGGGCCACTATCCGGTTTCCAGAGCATATTTCAAGAAACTTATGCTTAAAAAGAAGCAGATATTTACAGAGTGGAATTACCAGACACCTTGTGGATGCGGGTCATTTTGTCGAGATTTCTAAATCCTTCAAAAATATTAAACATACAAAGGACAGCGAATTTACTACGATTTGCTGAAGCAACTGGAATCAAACGTTTCAGACCAAACTTATACACACTCCTTTGGTAAACATATTACTTTGATTACAGTGATTAGTCATACACACTAGTGAGCTCAGTTCACTAAGCAAGCTTTCAATTTGATGAACTTTAATCTTCTTGAGATGCCATGTTGGCGTAAAAGCCACCACTGTCTATCAGACTTTTTTGTTTTCTGTCTTCTCTCAACCCCTTCCATTTTTTCTTTCACAGTTTGAAAACATATAAATTGGTGGTAACTTAAACTAAAGCTAATTGTAATACTCATATTCCGGATGCGTTCATCTCATAATGTTTTGTCTATTACCTATCAAACATTGAAGTATGAAATGTCATTATTTATAACCATTGTAATTCCAGGTAGTTTGCAGCTGATGAGCACCTGTGAAATAGAATGGTGATGCATCATTTTATACTGCAAATCTTGTTTTGCCTTCTCTATCGAAATTTACCAAAAGAACCAAATGTATGAAATAGAAACTTAATTATGTAAGTTGTCAAAATTTACTGTTGCAGTCGACTTAGTCATTCATTAGTGTCGGTTGAATTATTATACCCAAACAAATATTTTTCTTGAAAATAAAGCTGTCAAACTAATAAACTTTACTTTTTAATAAGAAATGTATGCTGTTAGTTCCTTAAATAACCAAATGAAAATTCAAAACTTACTGCTCAATGCTTGATATCATTCAAGATGGATTCACTAACTAGAGAAAGCTGAGGATATCATACATGTTATAAATCGAAAATTTCAGTTGTTCAACGTTACAATAAAGAAAACTGATATCCAAGAAATGGTTTGTAGGGATTCGGTTGATTGGTTACTGGATCTCATCATGAGCTGACATTGGTCAGAGAACCATTGGAAAACCAGATAGGAGAACTGGACAGTTGTTTCATCCTAGTCTAGAAGTCTTCATCAGCACGCACTCACCATAGGAGTGCGGAGACAGCGATGATCGAACACGCAGAGTCGCCGCACATCCTCAGCTCGGAGAGGCCAGGTTTCACAGGCGTAGAGCAAGACAGCTCGCACCGAAGCATTGTATACCCAACCTTTGACAGCCAGGCTAACGTCGCGACGGCGCTAGAGGTGGCACAACTTGATGTATGCCACCCTAGCCTTCATTATACGGTTGGAAATCTCATCCGTCACCCCTCCGCCAGCACTCACACAACTACCCAGGTACACAAACTTATCAACAACTTCAAGCGGTTCACCCGCAAGAGTGAGTGCAGGTCAGGCTCCTGCCAATCTTGTAACAGTACTTTGCACTTAGACGGTCGGTGCAAAGCACATACCATACTTACAGACACTGATCGCCAACTGATTAAGTGCGATTGCAGCATGCATGCTATTGCACAGTAAGACGATATCGTCTGCATACTCGAGGTCGAAAAGTCTATCTCCAGGTAGCAGATCTACACCACCTTCACGCACATCCTTCAGAGCTGACTCCAGAATGTCATCGATGGCAAAGTTAAAGAGAAATGGAGAGATTGGGCAACCCTGTCTAACCCCACTGTTGGTTAGGAACAGTGATGATAGTTGGTTGTATGCCCTCACTCTACATGAGGTGTTTCTCTATAGGGCTTTCAAGATGTTAACAAATTTCTCAGGTACACCTCTCTCTAACAGACAGTTCCAGAGCACAGTTCTGTCCAACGAATCGAAGGCAGCCCTAATATCAAGAAACACAACGATCGTTGGCCTGCAATACGTGTGGCGGTGTTCCAACAACTGACAACACGCTGGTGTCGCTCGCTGGACACGTCGAGATGACATTTTCAGTAAAGATTTTATCATCATTCCAATTAATGAGAATGTTCACTGGATTGTTGCTATTGCTTGCTATCCTTGGATGGTGGGAATGCCGAAGGATGTGCATGCCGATGAAGTTGTTGGCCGGTGCAAATTGAAGGAAGAATTTTCTGATGTCGAGCATATTGAATTTCCCCAGAGTTTAGATTTATCAACTATTTATGCAGAATCTGTGCACAGAATTCCTATAGATGTTCAACGTGAAGCATGTAATGGGTGGAGACGAAGACGTCTAGCCCGGCTCCGGAAGAATGGTTACAATCCGAAAGTAATTCGTGCTCGACACGCTCGACGAAGGGTGAACACATGATCAATGCATCCACGACCTGAACGCAACGCAGCCTGCTCTTCGCGAATCAATCCTTCACGTATTTTGCACAGCCTGCGAAGCAAGACAGCAGCCAATAATTTAGACGCGACTGGTAGCAGACTGATACCCCTATGATTGTCACACGAATTACGTCGACCCTTTTTAAAGATGGGGACGATAATGGCTTCGTTCCACATTGATGGTACACTCTCAGTTTCCCATACCTTCCTGAACAACCCAGTTAGAGCCATTGTGAGAGTCTCGCCACCATCTTTAAAAGGAGCCGGGGGTAAATTGTCTGGGCCGGGCGCCTTATGGCGTTTTAACACTTGGAGTTCCTTACGGACCTCCGCTTCGGTGGGTGGGTCGGTATTAACCGACCAAGGAGCACTGGGGCTAATGACAGCAGACATTGAAGCTGGTGGCCAGCTAAACTGTTTCCCGAAGTGCTCTGCCCAGCGTTCCAGGCGTCTTTTGAAACTGGTAATTGGCGTGCCATCTGCCTCACAGACCGTCTCGCTGACACCTTATTTCTTGCTGCCGGTGGCTCGGATGAGTTGGAACAGCTTCCGACTGTTGCCAGATGCAGCAGCTGACTCCATCTCACATGCACGTTCTGACCACCAGGCTTCACAGTCCTTACGTAGACACTGTCTTATCTTGCGCGTCAGCGCCTTTCGCTCATTGCTGTATTCGCTGCCAGCCGGAATGGACCGGTGTTCATCCAGGAGTTGCAAGGAACTCGCAGAAACCCAGTGGTTTTTGACGAAGCATTCTTTCAAGTTGCAAGTGGCTACACTCGCTCTTTGCATGGCACCTTGCAGATGGAGCCAATGTTCATCTATACTACTTGGGGGGTTGTTGGCAAGCATTGATTGTAACTCATTCTGATATTTCAAACAAGTAGCAGGTGTTACTAGTTTGCTCACATCAACGTTTAGACGACGCCTTTTATGAACCCCACCAAATCGCATGACGAACTTGGCACACACTAACGCATGATCGGAGTCCAGGCATGTGCTCCAGAAGGAGC